TCTAGAGGAAATTGTATTAAAGTCGTGGATCTGAATAATCAATGATTTTGTAGCATTTTTTATTTAAATTGATTTTTCTTTAAATGACTTATTTTTGGGAGTAAATTTTTTTGTGTAAAAAAAAAACAATCGTTTTTTCCATCACGATAAAAGCAATAAAAGTGTTTTGTTCTACCAACGAAAATAACAACAACACTAAACCAAGGAACATTCATTGTGTCATTCATTTTTCTCATTAATCAGTTTTGTTGGCCCGAGCAGAATCCGTCAAGCAACCTACAACCAGAAATCCATCAATCATCGACTTGTAACCTTTCGCAGACAATACAAAATGATAAAGTCATCGTCTGGCAGCAGCAGCTGTTAGAATTCACTCTTTGAGAAGCTGTTGGGCGGAATGCACGAAGGCTGCAGCATAGTTTGAGTGTGTATCACAGTCTGTCACATGGATTGTTTGTTACTAAAATCCCATGCGATGTGTTCCAACCATTTCACAATAGAAATTTTCTAATAGATCTGTTAATGTTGTCTTTAAGGCAAAGGGTTTATTCGACGTGTACATTTATTTAGAGATTTTTAAAGGAATTATATACAATAATTTACATTCTCATAAAATACCTGAAAGTTTTCTATTGAAATACTAGGAGGTCTTCTCATCGAAGGTCAAAGGATCTCTTAATTGGAAACTAGAATAGAAGATCAAGGAAGACTAGAAGGCCTTCTAATAAAAAACTAGAAGGTCTTCTCATAGAAGGCCAGAACGTCTTCTAATAGAAAACCACAAGGTCTTCTATAAAAAGACATTTTGGTCTTCCATGAGAATATCAGAAGGTCTTCTCATTGAAGACCAACATGTCATCCCATGAATGCAAAAAGATCTTCTCATTGAAGACTAGAAGGTCCTTTCAATGAAGACCAGAAGATCTTCTCATAAAATATCAGAATATATTTCCGATAACACCAGAAGGTCTTTTCATAGAAAACCAAAGCAAAGGAGACGAGAAAGATTCCCTAAATAAGGCCAGACGCCCTTCACAAGAGAACCAGTAGGTCTTCGTATAGTACACCAGAAGGTCTTCTCATGAAAGATTCAGATTTTTTCTCATAGGAAACCAGGCGATCTCACAAGAAACCCATGAGGTCCTCTCAAAAACGACATGAGTCCTTTTCATAGACGAACAGAAGGTATTACCATAAAGAATTACCCATAAAGAACCAGAAAGTCTCAAAGAATACCGTAAACTCTTCTCAAATAAGACTTGGAGAACTTGAAAAATAAAATACATCCTTATTATAAAGAATGTACAAATTATATACTGAAACCAGCAAGGAAATAATAAAACTCGGCCGAGGTCGACTATATGATACCCTTCACCACTTTGGGTACATACAGAGATCCTCATATGTACAATATATTTTAGATAAAATAACCATAGCATTTTTGGAGGACCATTAAAATGGAATCGAACGAAATTAACTGCGTTAAGCACAGAGAACTGAACTGAATTAAAACAACCCATAGACATACCAATCGGAAATGTATGAAAAATTGAATGTCAATCATCGAACAAAATATGTAAATAGATAAATGGACGTATTTGAGCAATCGTGGCATCCACCATTTGCTATGCTGGAACACAGTGCGCTATCCAAAATTTATTTCGACACAAAATTCAATACAAAACTTGACATGCATCAATCTATACCTAATACAGTACTCTGTGCAACATTTTGTCTCAGACGGACAAACATTGATAGTATGCTGCACCATTTAAAATAAAATCGGAGGAAACTATTTATGGGAGCTATATCAAAATCTGAACAGATTTCAAAAAAATTTGTACAAAAATTTGTCTCAATCGGACCAATATTGACAGTATGGTGCTCCAGATAAAATCGGACGAAACTATATATGGGAACTTATCTAAATCTGAACCGATTTCTACAAAACTTCGCAGACATCAAACTGCCCCTAATTTAGTATACTGTGCAAAATGTTGTATCCATTGGACACTTATTGGGAGTTTGGTCCACCATTTACCAAAAATGGGACAAAACTATACATGGGAACTATATCTAAATCTGAACCGATTTCAACAAAACTTCGCATACACAAATTTGGACCTAATTCAGTACCCCATGCAAAATTTTGTGCCAATCGGCCTTAATTTTAATCTTTGGTGCTCCATTTACATAAAATCGACGAAACTATATATGGGAGCTATATCTAGATCTGAACCGATTTCAACAAAACTTGTATGTATAAATCTAAACTTGCATGTATTAATCTAAACCTAATTCAGTACTATGTGCAAAATTTTGTGTCGATCGGACAAATATTGGGAGTTTAGTGCACCATTTACATAAAATCGGACGATACTATACATGGGAGCTATATCTAAATCTGAACCGATTTTCTCCAACTTCAATATGGTTCGTCCTTGGGCCAAATAAGTGATATGTGCCAAATTTCATCCAAATCGGATCATAAATGCGATCTGTACATTGTTCACAAAAATACATGGACGGAAGGACGGACATGCGTAAATCGACTCAGAAAGAGATTCTCTGCATATTTTCAAAAGGAACCATGGGTCTATCACGATTCCTTTTGCCTGTTACAAAAATACAAGAGAGGCATAACTCAAAAAAGCGATTTTCGAGTTAATGATGCACGATTGGTCGCTATAATAGACCTCATATTGTGTAAAAAATTCATACCAATATCTCTTACACACTCTTATTGAGAAGCTGTATAAGTTCCTCTGTAGAAGCTCATCCTCTGTCCCATATAAAGTGTGATTAAATTGAAATCTTAAAACGCATTTTCTGCAAAATCGTGTTTTTTTTTGACAAAATACCCTGTACCACAGTGTGGTGAAGGGTATAAATAGTTGTACGATAAATCTGTAAAATTACATTACAATGCCATCTAGCGGGGAATAGGAGTACACAGTTAGGCTATGTTCCATACTAGTTTAATGACGTTAAAAGTGGTAGCACTGTGCAGTCGTGCACTGCATTACCATCACGAACTTTTAAATAACTTAGTAGTTCTTATATTTGCCGGTAGATGGTGATTAGCGCATTTTTTTATCGTAAATATTGTTCAATCATGTTAAAAAAGGGACATGGAACTCATCAAATATGCTACAGGATGAAGGGTAAAGTTTAAAGAACATCTAGCCATGTAGTTAACAATTTTTGCGAGGGTTCTGATTTCAGAATTTTTTTCCGAGCTTTCTGATTTTTTTTTGGAAATTTCTCTAACATTTTCTTAAAAATTGGACCTTGTATAAGAGATATTCATGTGAATTTTTACACAACATGAATTCTGATATAGCGAACATTAACACAAAAATCGCGTTAACGCAAAAAATAACGATTTTTGATTTAAGTTGGTCTTGCAGCAATTGAGCCAAACCTCCTTTGGAGATTTTTTTCATTTATGTCGGTCTTGCAGCAATTGAGTAATATGTCGATAGGCAAACCTCCTTTGGAGATTTTTGATTTATGTCGGTCTTGCAGCAATTGAGTCATATGTAGATAGCCAAACCATTTGGAGTAACCAAGCTCTGCCCACATTGAGGAATCTTTAAGGCCATTTGTTGGATATTACATTTGCAAAATCCACAAAACCTTCTAAGGGAAAGATTCCAGTTGCTGGTTTGGGGTTTCACTATCACTAAGGAAGAAAAAGTGACTGTAGAATCACGTATCTCGTATCCAATTGGGGTGTCAATATGAGAATTAGGAAGAGCTAGGAACGATCGAACACCTTCTAGGTTGAAGTCGAATTTTGCGTAGGAGGATATGTCAAAGATTTTGAAGATATGAGATTGTTACTCCAATGTTCTTCTTCGGAATAAATCCCCCCAAAATCTATAGCTCTAAAATAGCTGTCCTGCTTCAGCTATAATATTTAATTCCATCGTCCATCCCTCCGTTTTCTACAAATACTCAGCACAATGGACTATAGGTCTCTGGGGGGAAAGAAACACTAAATGATTGGTGGTTTACATCATATAACCTAAACTACCATCCAAAAGAAACTTATGTTGGGATCGGCTCATCTTCGATAAAGGCATTTCTTGTCAAATTGTATGGGACGAAAATAAACAAACTGCCATAACGAATGTATGCTGTTGGTCGAAAGGAATGCATATATCTCACGATAGGTAACTTTTTGGCCAAAACTCTTACCTCCTCTCCCTACTGAGAACGTTTATGCTAAAAAATGCCAAAATCGCATTGGAAATGTGAGATAGATGCATCTATCAGCAATATTGACTGATTCTTCTACTTAGTTTATTAATACGTCATTCTGATTATCAAATTTCTGATAATTATGTCGATCAATGTCAAAATAGTGATATACATCATCATCACTCCCATGTCTGCATGTTTACATTTAATACTATCACAGGTTCCCTTTTCATACCCACATTTATCATGCCAGTGACATTTTTCCTTGTGCCGTTTCAGCAACCTCAGCACTGACTACCCGACGACTCACTCTAACCTAACACAATGGGTTAGGTGAAAGGTATTATTCGATCGATCGATATTTGCAACATTCCAACATACCAAAAATCACAAAACAGAATAAGACCAAAGAACAAGCAAATAAATAATAAAAGAAATACCACGAAAGTTTAATCACAAAGAACGAACACAACTTGACAAACAAATTGACTTTCGTTGTTTTCATTTGGTGTTCCTCGTTCGTTCGTTCACACGCAGCCAGCTCAGTTGGAATCGCGTCAATTAATTGCCCTCTCTTTCTGTTTGTTTGTGTTTTTGTTTCAATTCTAATTTGAAAATCGAAAATTAATTGAATATTTTCGAACAAAATGTAAACGGGAATAGAAATAAAAAAGTGAAAAACAAAGCAAAAATTGTGTAATTATTTACTTTGTGTAAAATAAAAACTTGTACTGTTCTTGTTTAACATTTCAAGAAAAAAATCTTGTGATAAAACCCATTGAAATTGCTAAAGAAGACACAAGGAAAAACACGAAACCGAGAGAGTGATAATTACGAACATAAAAATGGCGCAGCCGCCACCTGATCAGAGTTTCTATCATCCGCATCCACATGCCCATCCCCATCCCCATCCACAGTTGCAGTTGCCACCACAATTTCGGAATCCCTTTGATTTGGTAGGTATTGAATATTTAAAGCTGTTTTCTATGGATTTTTTCTCGGCTCGATATTTTTAAATTTCGTTCGATGAATATGTGTATGGATGTGTTTGTGTTTCCCATTTGCTATTTTTGGGGGATATTCGTTTTTTATCCCATACAATAGTTGACGTATATATACTAGGGTATTTTGACATAGAATCCTTTACAGTCCCCGACCTTGTTAAGGTTATTTTAAGGTCCACAAAGTATATTCGGCTTGAGACAATTATATTTTTATTATTGTGGAAATCCATATTTCCAGAGATATGACCCTTCAAAGTTCAGTAGGGACCATTGTATTTTCCTCATGCTTTTTAAATGCACTGAAGCAATATGGATATTATTCTGAAGTTGTTGAAGTGCCGATTGCAAATGGGTTATTATTTTTATCGACCAGAGATATGAACTTCCAAAATCGGTATTTGTGCACAAAAATGAAACTTAAAACACCGGCCCAAGTCCGTTCATCCACATACTACTCATATTACTCAATGACCTCAAGATACACATATTGCACAGGTCCCAACTCGGAGCCTGATATCAAAGGAAATAGGGATTATTTTTGAAAATATTTGACACTTAAGGGAACCCCCCCCCCCATTCTCGATTTTTTATTTTTAAGATTTGAAATGGGCTGGCAAATGAATACCAATGCTTGTTAAGGTTTGTAACTTTGCACATATATATTTGAAGATTTAAAAAGGAAGAAAAATAATTTACAAAAAATTGTTGTTGTTGTTTTTTGTGATCAAAGAAAAGTCCTTATTTTTGATGGCGGGCATGATAACTCCTCACTGGAACATCGGAACCCGAAAATTCCAACGGTGTTAGAAAGAGTGGCGTAGGGGATGATAGATACCAAGCAACGGCTTTGATTGGCTTTAACATGGCGAAGCCCAGGCTTATCTTGGTCCCTCTTTCATCTCAATTGTGGACACTGACCTCCCCGCGGTGCCACCTGGGGAGCTATTCTCATCACCCGATGAAATAGTGAGCTAATATGTGCCGCGAGTTCACCCATAAGAACTATAAAAAAATGGGTTGAGGCGTCGGGTTAGTTGCCCACTCTCGGAAAACCCAACCTACTATGAAAAAGCAAAGAAAAAGAAAACCAAACCCCCATAATGTTGACGACCCCCGCAAACGTATAAAGGACCACGATCTGCGAATCTGCACTTGGAATGTGCGCACGCTATACAGAACAGGGGCAGTGTTCGCTTTGGCGGATATACTTAAGAAGTACAAAGCCGATATTATTGCCTTACAGGAAATGCGATGGAAAGGGACAGGCGTAAGTAAATCAGACGATTACGCCCTGTATTATAGCTGCCATGAAACGAGACATGAATTTGGCTGCGGATTTATGGTTAACAGGAGAATAAAAGACCTTGTCTCCAGATTCACTCCAGTAGATGAGCGAATTGCTATAATCCGTATAAAAGCGAAGTTCTTTTACATCAGTCTAATTTGCGCCCATGCTCCGACCGAAGATAAAGATGAACAGACCAAAGATATATTTTATGAGCGCCTAGAAACAGCATATGACCGTTGCCCTGGCCATGACATTAAAATTCTGCTAGGAGATTTTAATGCAAAAATCGGAAGGGAAAATATCTTTGGCCCCACCGTCGGAAAATTCAGCCTTCATGAAGAAACTTCCGACAACGGCATGAGGTTGATTGACTTCGCGGCAGCAAAAAACATGGTAGTTAGCAGCACCAGATTCAAGCATCTCGATATACACAAGGCCACCTGGATTTCTCCTGATCAAGTAACGAGAAATCAAATTGATCATGTTGTGATAGACGGAAGGCATGCATCCAGTGTGTTAGACGTCCGATCGATCCGAGGAGCGAATATCGATTCGGACCATTACCTTGTGGCAGCCAAGGTACGCACCCGTCTAAATGTTGCAGCAAAGGTGCGATCTAATACAACACGGAAACTCGACGTCGAAAAGCTGCAAACACAACAGGTAGCCGAGGCCTACTCCGCTCAACTTACCCATCTGCTTGAAGAAAGCACTTCTTGTCCCGATAATAGTATAGAAACACAATGGCAAAGAATTGCCCACTCCCTACAAACTGCAGCAAAAAGAACAATTGGGTACCAAAAACCACCACCAAGAAACCCATGGTACGATCAGGAGTGTCGTAATGCTACTGATGTGAAAAACGCAGCGTATAGGGCAACCCTGCAGACAGTAGCAACACGTAACGTGATGGAGAATTATCGGGAGAAAAGGAGAGAGGAGAAACGTGTTTTCAGAAAAAAGAAGAAAGAACAAGAAAAACGTGAGCGTGAGCAAATCGAGATGTACAGGAGTCAGAATGAAGTCCGGAAATTTTACCAACGAGTAAAACACCAAACCGAAGGCTTTGGTGCAGGCACATCCTCCTGTAGAGATGAAGAAGGAAACCTGGTGACAGATACAGACAGCGTGTTGAGGATCTGGAAGGAGCATTTCGAAAAGCTACTAGTATCAAATAGTGGCGATGAAGAAGATACCACAGAACCAATAGGAGATGATGGTATAGAGTGTATACCACCTAGCCAAGATGAGGTCATAAAAGCAATTAATCGGCTCAAGAACAACAAAGCAGCAGGAGCCGATGGGTTACCAGCCGAACTATTCAAGACTGGTGGCCAGATGCTGGTCAGGAGCATGCACCAGCTGATTAACACAATTTGGCTAGATGAATGCATGCCCAATGATTGGAACCTCAGCATCCTGTGTCCCGTGCACAAAAAAGGAGACAAGACGATATGTGCCAACTATAGAGGAATAAGTCTCCTTCCCATCGCATATAAAGTGCTATCCAGTGTGCTGTGTGAACGATTGAAGCCAATGGTCAATGACATCATCGGACCATACCAATGCGGCTTCAGACCTGGCAAATCGACCATTGACCAGATTTTCACTCTGCGCCAAATCCTGGAAAAGACCCACGAAAAACACATCGACACATATCACCTATTTGTCGACTATAAAGCCGCATTCGACAGCCCTATCCGTTCAGAGGTGTTTAAAGCCATGTCTGCGTTCGGCATTCCTGCAAAATTAATACGGCTATGCAGGATAACTTTAAGTGGCACAAGGTCAGCCGTTAAAGTAGGAAAGGACCTATCGGAGCCCTTCAATACCGAACGAGGATTCAGACAAGGTGACAGTTTGTCGTGTGATCTTTTTAACATCCTACTGGAAAAGGTCATACGAGACGCAAAGGTGAACAGAAATGGCACTCTGTACACCAAACAACACCAGTTACTCGCCTACGCCGATGACATCGATATAATGGGTCGAACATTGCGAGCGGTAACAGCCACCTTTGAACAAATTGAAAAGGAGTCTGCCAAAGTGGGTCTGGCAGTAAACGGCGAGAAGACCAAGCTGATGGTATCAACGCGCAAGACGTCCAGTAGACTCGGACCAACTGTGGAACTTGAGAACTACAGCTTCGAGGTAGTTAAAGACTTTATATACCTTGGTACCGCCATAAATAAAACGAATGATATCAGTCTTGAAATTCGGAGAAGGATTGTGATGGCCAACAGATGCTACTATGGTCTAAGTAAGCAGTTTAGAAACAAGGCCACCTCTCGCCAGACCAAACTCACACTTTACAAGACGCTGATACTACCCGTGCTATTATATGGATCAGAAGCATGGGTACTTGCGCAAGCAGATGAGGCAGCGCTTGGGGTGTTTGAGAGAAAAATTCTCCGAAAGATCTACGGGACGATCTGCGTCGACGGTGAATATCGGCGTCGAATGAACCACGAGCTCTACAATTTATACGCAGGCATCGACATAGTCAGTCGTATTGAGCTGCAGCGACTACGGTGGCTAGGCCATGTTGTGCGGATGAATGAAGATGCCCCAGCTCAAAAGGCATATAAAAATGAGCCTACGGATGGTTCCCGTAGAAGGGGAAGGCCACGAATTAGATGGAAAGACCAAGTAGAAAACAACATCTTGGAACGTGGTCTTCCAAATTGGTGGACTTGCGCACAAGACCGACGCGCTTGGAAATCTTTTTTAAGCTCGGCTTATGGAACAACCGTTCTGTAACAAGCCAGCTAAGTAAGTAAGTTAGAAAGAGTACATGTCTGGCTCTCGTATGAACTAGGATTATTGACTTCGCACAACAATTAACAAAACGGCGGAACTTTGAAAAATTATTTTTTTTTTTTTTGGAAAATCGCCTATTTTTTACCACAAACTAAGTTAAAAATAAGGTAGTTCTTCACCGATTGGCATTATCCTAGCTCATACGAGAGCTATAAACTCCCAAAATTTGGAACCGATTGGATTATTAGTTTTTGAGTTATCGTGCCCGCCATTCGCAAAAGAGAAAAATGCGTTTAAAGTTTGAGATGCCCTTTAGGCGTCACTTGATGCTGACACAATAAATCGCCTATATCTTCAAGAGTTCTTGAGATTTTCACTTGAAATTTTGTAGGGACATTCTTGAATTAGTGTAGATTCGAATAAAATCAAGAAAATTTTTGACCCCGAGAATGGGGGGTCCCCTTAATGAAATTGAACAACAGCAACTTGCCACTCCTAATGAATTTGAAAGGGTATGAGACAATACTTGGCTCACAGCTCTCATATAACGACCTCTCAGCATTTTCAGTACTTTAAAGTCTTAACTGCATTTTTCGCCTGGCCTTTGAATGGAGAAAATGGTTTTTATAGATCTATAATTGACATAGCACCCATATAAAGGGCGCATTTCCTCATACATTGGCATTTTAATTTCTTGGAGGTTACTTTCAGACATACTTGCACAAAATTTCTATTTTGAGTAATTCTCATAAAAAAGTTCTGCGAATGTTTGGTATTTTTAAGGTCGTATCCCCATTTTCATACCGAAGTGGCTGTAATAAGGCATTCAGGTTTATTGGAGAGTAAAAAATCGTTTAGGGTGAACAATATTCTTAAATAAATCAGTAAGGAAAGTGGTGAAGGGTATCATAAGTAGTCGGCCCTGCCCGACTATATGTCTAGGTTTCCTCGATGGAACACATACATGCCTTTCTGCAACCTATGCTAAATTTAATTAGATTCGGGCAGATTTAGAGTCGATTGCTAACAAAGGGACAAATTTATGGAAATCAATTTATAGCAAACTTGATACACGAAATATATATGGAAAATATATCTCAATTTAATGCGTTGTGCAAAATTGTGTGTCAATCCTACAAACATTAGGAGTTTGGTGCACCATTTAACTAAAATCGGACGAAAATATATATATGAGGGAGCTATATCAAAATCGGAACCGATTTTCACGAAACTTAGCACACATAATTCTATACTCAAGTCAGTACGCTATGCTAAATTTCGTGTAAATCAAAAGATATATAGGGGCTTTGGTACACCATTTACATAAAATCGGACGAAAATATATGTGGGAGCTATATCTAAATCTGAACCGATTTTTACGATACTTAGCACACATCATTCTAGACTTAACTCAGTACGCAATGAAAAATTTCGTACAAATCAAAAGATATATGGGGACTTTTGAGACAATTTACATTAAATCGGACGAATATATATATATATATATATATGGAAGCTGTATCTAAATCTGAATCGATTTTCACAAAACATCATTCTGGATCCAATTCAATACGCTATGCCAGATTTCGTGCAAATCGAAGAATATATAGGGACTTTGGTACACCATTTACATCAAATCCAAAATATATGGGAGCTATACCTAAATCTGAACCGATTTTTCCAACTTCAATGGAGTTCGTTAATGGACCAAATAAATGAGCTGTGTCAAATTTCATCCAATTCGGATAGTAAATGCGACTTGTATTTTGTTTACAATTTAACATCAACAGACGAACGGACGGACATGCATAAATCTAGAAAGAGATTCTATGCATATGTTCAAAAGGAACCATGGGTCTATCTCGTTTTGCCTGTTACAAACATATGCACAAAGACACAATACCCTGTACCACGGTGTGGTGAAGAGTATAAAAATTAATAAAGGTCAATTTTATGTCCAAAATTTTGACATTTATTTATGGAGACCACCAAAATTTGGTCTCATGTTTGTATATATTTGGACTAGATTTGGATTATTTCGATTTCGATACATGTCATATATATATTTTCGTGCGATTTTATATAAATGGTGCATCAAAGTCCTTGTATATCTTTCGATTTGCTCGGAAATTGGCATAGCGTACTGAATTGGCATAGCGTACTTATGATGTGTCATAAGTTTCGGAAAAATTCGGTTCAGGTTTCGATATAGCTCTCACATATACATATATATTCGTCCGATTTTACATAAATGGTGCAAATCATAAGGTTTGTCCGATAAACATGAAATTTTGCACAACGTATCAAATTGAAACTTGAATGACGTTATTGCGTTTTATTGAAATTAGTGCAGCTATAGCTTCCATATTGATTGAAATTAAATAGCGTGTATCAATTTTGATATAAATCGTTTTCTATAAATTTGTCCCATGGTACCCAGACGACTCTAAATATGCCCGAATGAAATTAAATGTATCATACGTTACAGAAATAAATGAGTATGTTTCTTCGAGGGAACATTGACATGCAATTGTAAGGATACATATGTCAGTCAGACTTTACTTTTGATTAGCTCCAAGAATAAGTTGTTTACCCACCAAGAAATCAGAATTCAAAAATGCATCACTATGATTGTAGACCAAGTACATTATCATCATAATACCTAAAAGAAGAACTTCATTAGAAGATATTTCAAAACTTGGATCTGTATTTTCACCATAAAAACCCCCCATTATATGTCTTCGATGAATTTTCTAAGTTATTCCGATTCCTTGATAATATCGTCAACAATTTTGGCAAGCCTTTTCAGTTGTCGACAGTTGTCGAATGTAGACGAGTGAACATTCTCATCTACGGACAACTCCAGCTAAAGGTCACTAGACCTTCTTCAGCTTTTATGTCAATTCAAACTTTTGTCTTTTAAATATAGTCTTTAATTTTTTGATATTTTGGGAAGGAATTTATTTTGTTCTCAAAGTCTCGCTGTTTCAAAATTCATGGCATTCAATTTGAAATCAATAACATGTCACTATTATTACAGCTATTTGACGAACGTACTGGTGCAATCAACTACAACTATATACGTCCATATATTCCTAACCAAATTCCTAAGCATGGTAAGTTTTTATTTTTATATCATCATCGTGATATTGTACTCTTTAACATTTCTCGTTTCCCTTTCTAAGAGGATCTCTCCGATTCCCTGGTTATGCGTCGACCTCGACGCACCCGGACAACATTTACCAGCGCTCAGATTGCCGAGTTGGAACAGCATTTCCTTCAAGGTCGATATCTGACATCATCACGGCTGGCTGAACTATCAGCGAAGCTAACATTGGGCACCGCCCAGGTCAAAATTTGGTTCAAAAATCGCCGACGACGTCACAAAATTCAATCCGATCAACAGAAAGACTTTTCATGTGACGGTATGCCCTTGTCACCATCAGTGGCGCATGCAATCAAAACGGAGACCCAAGGTAGTGCCAGCAGCTGTGGCAGTAACAATAGTAACGGTTCCTCGACATCTTCTTCCTCCTCATCAGGTGGACCGCCAAGCTTACAGTCGTTGAGTCTGAACGGCAATGGCGCCTCAACACCTAACCCCATGACGCCATCCCCAACTCCCACAACACCGACCACAAACTACATGGATCATTATAGCGAACCAGCAGCGTTCAATCCCTACTATTACAATAATTATCATGCAACGCATTCGACACATCCTCACCAGCCAACACATCATGCTACGCTCACCCATCCGTATGGTAGTACAGCAGCGGCTGCTGGAGGCCAATACTATCCTCCACCGCCACCACCTACAGGCCTACAACATCATCACAGTCAACATCAACAACAATATCACAGTCCACATCCCCATCAATTCCAGATGCAGCATAAACCGCACACCCCAACCATTAAAGAAGATCCGGATTATAATTACAACAATCCGTACTATATGCGCATGCCACCGGCTGTTGTGTGTAATCCAACACTGGGAAGTATCGCATCGAACACGGTGGAACCATCCAGTGCCATGTCACCGAACTCGGAAGTCTATGAACCGTTGACACCGAAAAATGACGATAATTCGAGTATGTGTAATGGTGCTGGCGGTAATGTCGATGTGGGTGATAATTTAGATGAGACCAAAGCCAAATTACGGGTGAGTTTGTAAAATAGGAATATAGGTAGTAAGGTTACCATTAAAAGTTCTAGAAATAAATCATGATGGCATAATATAGGATATATTGATCCATTAGATGAAACTCAAATAGTATTATGGTTAATGAGGGTTTATAGGGCAAAAATGACCCCATGTTTCTTTGGACCAAATCCTTTTCAGTCAGTTGTGAGTCGATTTACAAATTGCCGTCCGTCTGTCTGGCCAGGTGGATCGCATAATAACTCTCGAAGAGAGTACCAGGTTTCATCCAATATTTGCACATCGTAATATTTCTTCCAAACATGGTTTAAATTCGAAGATGGGAAATATCAGTCTACTCTTTCTGGTACATCCCCCACAAAATGGTCATAATTCTGCTGAAAATTAATATTATAATATCTTGCGAACGGACTATTATCTTTTCCAAGCCTTGATCAAGTACGAAGATGGAAACTATCGGTCCACTCCGTCTGGTATCTCCGAATCAAACCAAACTTCGTACAACCTAATTCTTTAAGCATATTGTAGGGACATTTCGGTTCACATGTTAAATTTTGTTTCCATCTGACAACTCCTTCAGGTGTTCAAAAAGGACACATCCGAAATTTTTTACAATGGAAAAATTAGAAATGTGTGCTTTCATTGTAAAAAAAAAATTCGGATGCGTCCTTTTTGAACACCTGTTTCTATATGAAGGAGTAGTCAGATCGAAACAAAATTAAACATATGTTCATAACAGAGATGAAAGTTTCCAAAACACTTAACTTTTTTCTGTTTTTTACCGCGCATTTTGTGCTAGGCTAAGAACTTTCCGAACTGCCTATGTATCCTTACAATTGCATGTCAATGTTCCCTCGAAGGAACATACTCATGTCTTTCTGCAACCTATGATAAATTTAATTTCATTTTGGCAGATTTAGAGCCGTCTGCGTATCATGGGGCAAATTTATGGAAAATGATTTTTAACAGTGCGGTACGCCGCAGCTAAGGCTGCATCTGCACCAATTTCAATAACGTCATTCAAGTCTCAATTTCATACGTTGTGTAAAATTTCGTGTTAATCGGAAAAAATTAGGAGTTTTGCGCACCATTTAAGTAAAATCGGACGAATATATATGTATATGTGAGAGCTATATTTCGAAATCTGAACCCATTTTCCCGAAACTTTCCACTCATCATTCTATACTCAGTTCATTACGCTATGCCAAATTTCGTGCAAATCGAAAGATATAAAGGGACTTTGATGCATTATTTACCTAAAATCGGACGAAAATATATATGGGAGCTATAAATAAATCTGAACCGATTTTCACGAAATTTAACACACATCGTTCTAGACTCAATTCAGTTTCCCATGCCGAATTTCGTGCAAATCTAATGATATATACGGATAATGATGCACCATAAACATAAAATCGGACGAACATATATATGGGAGCTATATCGAAATCTCTACCTATTTTCCCGAAACTCACCACTCATAATTACAGACTCAATTCAGTACGCTAAGCCAAATTTCGTGCAAATCGAAGGATATATAGGGACTTTGGTGCACTATTTACCTAAAATCGGACGAACATATATGTGGGAGCTATATCGCAATCTCAACGGATTTTTCCGAAATTCACCCCTCATCATTCTAGACTCAATTCAGTACGCTAAGCCAAATTTCGTGCAATTCAAAGGATATTAAGGGATGCATTAATTACCTAAAATCGGACGAAAATATATATGGAAGCTATATCTAAATCTCAATCGATTTTCACGAAACTTAGCACCCATTACTCTAGGCTTAATTTAGTATGCTAAGCTAAATTTCGTGCAAATCGAAGTATATAGGGATTTTGGTGCGCCATTTACATAATTGGACGAAAATATATATGGAAGCTATATCTAAATCTGAACCGATTTTTCCCAATTTCAATAGGGTTCGTCATTGGGCCAAATAAATGATCTGTACTAAATTGCATCCAAATCGAATCAATAGTGTGTCCTGTGCTTTGTTTAAAGTTTAACATGGGCGGACAGACGGACGGACAGGTATGCATATATCGACTCAGAAAGTGAGTCTATGCATATTCTCAAAAGGAACCATGTGTCTATCTCGTTTGCTTTTTCCTGTTACAAACATATGAACAAAGACATAATACCCAGTACCACAGTGTGGTGAAAGGTATAAAAATTAGTCCCATCGGTCCACTGCTTCTTTTACTGTATAACCATGTCTGTATAATATTGGAAGATGAACCACTCCTTCTAGTACCTCACCCACAAATAAGGTACTAGAAGTATAGACTACAAGTTTAGTGTAGTTTCGAATTTATTAATTCTAAAATTTTGAATAATATATTTTTTTATCCTCTTCTATCGATTTCATATATAACTAGCGAAATGATTATTTTTTTATAGGTGATTGTATCCAGTAATGCCAACCGAACTGACGATGCTTGCAGCAATACCAATCCAATTGGAAACGAAGGTTCTGGCACACCGGCTATCAACATCATGGATGAGTGTACGGGTGCATTTGCCAAATACCAGAAGATGACAACCGCTGATCCGAATGATCCCAACTATCAGTGTACGATGGATACGATAATGCACGCGTATAACAATCATCGTAATACATCGGCCAACAATCAACAATATGCCTACTGTTTCAATTGATATGATGGCGAGATTGGAGAAACCGACTCGACGCATCTATCAATCGATTGGTTGCAATGAATGTTCGCCAAAAACTAAAAAAAAAGAAATTGGCGACCAACTGGCTGGCTGTGATGTATATGAAAACAAATACAATGAAAGAAAGAGAATGAAAATCAACAAAAAAAAAATTAACAAACCCCCACCCACCCCCTTTTATCCGTTGTTCCTTGATTGTATAAAGTTTTAAATCATAAAATTGTTATATAGCTTTTTTCTTGTTAATTACATTATTTTGTCTAGCATTTAAGTTCTAATTTTGAATTTTAGGTTATGTTCTATGTTTAAAATATAAGTTTTCTAATTTAATTTAAGTTTATCATTATGCCACTTGTAAGAACAATTTCAAATCTGTTTTGCATTTTGTTTATTGAAAATAATCGATTATTAATTTGTATGTCAATGTATGTGTGTGTATGTGTATTTAAGTTAAGTGCGTTTATTTTAAGTTTGAAATATGAAATATTTTAAGATTTTATTTTTTATGTCAAACTTCCCTAATTCAAATTCGTTATTCATTCGGCAGAGCTGTAAATTCCCGAGCCCATGAATTTACACCGCTGCCCACAATGAGTGCATGGGCTCGAATTTAAATTATGGAAGTTATTCACAATCTCCTAGTCCTTAAGTTATAATTGTTTTCAAAAATGCCTCCATTGAATTGCTGCCTGCCGCGCCGATACAGTGGTCGGGGTGATGTCAGTTTGCAACAGATCACCAATTACCTTCCTTCGTATTATTGATATAGAAATGCTCTGAAACTGCAAACCCACCATAAAGTGTAAAATGTTGCTCATAGTAAAAACGAATATTTCGCTGCCAACAACGGCTTGGTTTTTAACTACAGAGAGCCAACATTTGGACAACAAATATTCAATTCACTAACTGAGTATTTTTCAATAGAGAGAGACATTTCTGGGGCATCTGTGTTTGGTCCATAAAATGGCCCAGAAGTGGCAAAATGAATTCTTTTGTTCGTCGACAATCTGCCATTTTTGTCTGCTGCAGCCCGAAATGCATGCGGAAAATGTCAAAATGTCAACGGATCGGTGAAGAATTCAAACTTTGCCATCTTTTAGAGATGCTTTATTTATTAATAAGGTGTACGTACGTATGTTGCAAATTGCCCGAGGCAATTCAAAGGTGGGCATTTTTTCGATTCTTTTTTAAACAAAATGCATATCGAAATTTGTTGCTTCTTTGGCAAGCTTCCTCTGTCTATCTTTTTTGTTTCCAATGACAAAAAACACACACACTTTTCCACAAACTCTATTCTAAAACTTATTTTTTTCTCAATTTCGAACAAATTCAATTTTAAATGTATTTCTTTCTATGTTTTTAATAAAAGTAACTTGTGTAACTAAATATATTTTTGTTTTGCTATGTTTGGTTTACTTGGGGAATATTATTATATTGCAGGTAAAATAGAAAATAATATAAAATTAGCACAGAAATTATTTTTTTAATAAATTTAGTTTTGCAACAGACATTTTTATTTCCACTAGAATTTTCCATATTTAATATATTCGCCCATGTGCTGAATATGTGAGATCGTACGTGTTTTTCTGAGCACGTACAAGTTGAAACATAACTCTGAAGTAATATTTAAAGTGTGTTTACAATATTTATTTAAAAATACAGTATTTACATTAGTTTTAATAGTAAAATTAAAGAAAATAAAAAAAGGGATCCTTTTATCAAAAACAGCGCGTAACATTTTTGAGATCAATCTGGCAACTCAACCACCATATGATCAAAATAAAAATAGAATCTATAAAAATCCACTTTGAAGATTTCCAATAGTCCCTTTAATAATGTTTCTTTCAGATGTGTGCACTTTTTGTATCGATGTTGACAAGATCCATGCTCCACTTGTTTATAGGGCGTCAAAAAATGTTTCTAAAGCGTAACCACTGTCTCCTAGAAGCCAACTATTTTGCATACCATTTTCTCTTTTGTTAATGCTGCCTAGCTGCACTTATATGCCAAATAAAATAATCATGGCTGGATCCTGGTCTGCAGCTGTCCACAGCTTGCACACACTTTGTCTTCCAGGACTTTCATTACTCTCCACAATATTTTACACATTGTTGTGCGATCAACACTTATATTTAAATTATTTACCACTATCCTCTGAAACCCATCTAAAGGTACCTGCTAACTGGAGGCTTTCGGGAACGGCACCCTTGTATATGAAAGGATCCACTTCGGCTTAAATGTACTTTACGGACACCTCTCAGATCATTTTGAAATTTTTATCATAGGTAGCCCTTCTGATGCTGATTACAGCAACATACGTTTTTTCGGGGGGAAATCTGTACTTCCCGAGTTATGGGGTTCCAAAAAATACCCCCACTTTTTATTAAACATATTTAAGAATACCACTCCGAAACGTTTAATTTTTTTACAGCACGTAGTCCGTTTGGAGCTGATTACAACCACATAATTTTTTGGGGGGGTACTTCGTACTTCCGGAAATATGGGGTTCAAAAATTTTAAAAATAAGCTCATATGGTTATTTGTTTGATTTAAGGATTTTTTCCTTTAGGGACACTCGGATTGTTCTGGATCAGCAGAGGTATGTATAATTTACCTGATTACATAAATATGTTACTATAAAATTGAAATTAAAAGAGAATACTGCTCGCGTAGCCCAACATTCCACCTGTCCATAGGAGAAAGTCTTAAATCCCCGGCCGAAGGCCGTCTATTTAGAAAAAATTGAAATTAAAAGAGAATTCTGATCGGGTAGCCCAATTTTCCATCTGTCCATAGGAGAAAGTCTTAAATCCCGGCCGAAGGCCGGCTATCAGAAAAAAATTGAAATCAAAAGAGAATTATGCTCGCGTAGCCCAATTTTTCACCAGTCCATAGGAGAAAGTCTTAAATCCCCGGCCGAAGGCCGGCTATTCCGAAAAAATTGAAATTTAAAGAAAATTTTGTTCTCATAACTCAATTTGTTGTCGGATAAGTAAGGGTATAAAATGTAGGTTTTTATTACATTTTGATACCTCATATTTCCGGAAATACGAAGTTCTCCCCAAAAAAAATTATGTGGTTCTAATCAGCCCCAAAAGGACTATGTGCTGTAAAAAATTTAAACGTTTCGGAGTGGTATTCTTAAATATATATAATAAAAAGTGGGGGTATTTTTTGAACTTTGGAACCCCATATCTCGGGAAGTACTGATTTCCCCCCCGAAAAAACGTATGTTGCTGTAATCAGCATCAGAAGGGCTACATATGGTAAAAATTTCAAAATTATCTGAGAGGTGTCCGTAAAGTGCATTTGTTCCCCAGGGAAATTAATAAGCCAACAGGCATATTTTTCCTTAATTTTGTTGGTAAACAAATTGCAAATTCCAATGAAACATATGCTTTTTTATTGAACACATTTCGTAACATATTGAACACAGCTATGCTTTCGAGCCGCACTTTCGCTCGAAATTGAGCACACCATTTTGCACAACATGGGAATTTAAAAAAGTATGGGAATTCAAAAACTCTCGGAACATGTCACATGGGCGATTATAAGTATTTTCATTGAATGCTGCTACTCCATTACTCATTGCTGTACTACCATATTTGTAGTAGAATGCTACCCTTAAGCCGTTTGTTTCTTAAGTCTTTTGTTTTAGTGAGAGAGGGAGAGAACAACTAAAAGAGACTGTTTACTAAAGAGACCGGCAATGTATCTCTTTTGTTATTAACAATACATACACACTTTAAAAAAATAAAATAAATAAATTACAGTTAGAAAGAAAATGTTATTAAAATTCAACACAACAGACAGCTCTCTTTCTCTGGTTTACCTTTTATGTGTTTCGAGCGCATTGACCACTACTTTTGTGTAGATTTTAGAAATGTCGATTTTGAAATATTAAACAAATCTTAAAATTGGGAATTTCAATATATGAATCACTATTCTAGTTATGTTAGATTACATAATAGGTGTCTCCAAAATCTTAAATTGGAATTGTTGAAGACAATGGAACAATTGAAAAAAATGTTGAATGATTGCTTTGAAAACTATCAATAGACTTAGTCAGATTACATTTATAAAATAAAATTGTATCAGCATCGTTTCAAAGAAATAAGGACGATAAAGACGCAAAAGGATTCGAGACAGATGGAGAATATGTTATACAAAAATTTAATTCTCAATTTTAAATTTCGACAATTTTTACCAGAATGGCATTATGCAAAAGGCTTGTTACTTTGATGATTTAACCCTACGGTCAATAACCGGGTACATTTGTACTTTTTTTTGAATAAAAATGCTGTAAAATTTTTAATAATGGAGATATTTGGATCAAATTTTGAGGAATCATTCTTGAGATATTTTCACACATAATCGAAGAAAAAAATTATAAATATTTTCCATATAAATAATTTTTACAATTTTTTAAAGTTATTGCCTACGTAGATCAATAACCGTGGTACATCTGTACCCATCCAAAGATAGCTCTGTAACTCATTAAAAAAATGGACTATCGTTAGGTTTTTTGTTTTAAATTAGTCTATACGGATCTGTACTCAAAATTATATATACATTAAAATAATATATATTTAAATCCATGCTTAAATGATAATCTATCTAAAACAATCATAGTAAATCCGTTATAGCTTTGGATTGGGTTAAGCTTTTTTAGTTATTTCTTTATTGGGGTCTTATTTAGGTGTTCCTCAAACCCTCTGCAAATTTTTGTGGCCCTAGACAACATGGGCCCATCAGGGCGACTCGTGGAAGTCAGAAACTACCCTGGTTTTTCGATTATGGCGTTGAGAAGAGCTCTCGCTGCCACCTGTCGTTTACACAATAAATACATTATATATTCAAGCGTTTTTGAAATTTTAAAGAGACATTCCTGAGATTTTAAGGTGAAAACTTCTGTAATTTGACATTCAGAGTGTAATTTGACATTCCACCTATGAGTGAATGGTATGAAAAGTTCGGCAGGGTCAAATTTAACCACATTTTTAATTTTTATAATCTCCAACGTAATATTAAATTTGCCATTCCGTTTGCAACACCTTGAAATATTCACATACATATTCCTGATCATAATAAAATTCGATTTCGATTTATGCATGCCCGCCTTTTGAAATTACGATTCGGTATAGTCCCCATATAAAAGTAATCCCACTATTCGATATTTTGAGAATTGCAAACGTCACACTTTCAAACGTTACTCGTCATTTTTGTTATGTTCAGGGTTTTAGCCCAACTTCAGTGTCGATAGCTTGGTATTTCGTGTTCTCGTGGAATACCCAATCGTTTGTAGGTATTTTGAATGCCCTCCTCATTGGGCAGGGTATAAAAAGTTCGGCCCCGCAGATCTTATCCTTACTTTACTTTTTGTCTATTTAAAGATTTCAACCATATTTTTAAACCAAGTTGGATCTGATTTGCGATTTTGAGTTATCATTGGTTGGAAATCAATGTACAAACCAATACGGAAAGTTCAAAAGTCGGATGGGGCCGACTATATGATACCCTTCAGCACTTTGGGTACATACAAAAGATGATAATGTGTACAATATCCTGTTGATAGAGGAGGCATAGCATCTTTGGATGACCTTTGATATGGAATCGGGTGAAAAACAAATGTGATCTACATAGATATTTGAGCCAATAAAAATCATACACATACTATTCTGAAATCTATACAAAATTTAATGTCAATCGGGCAGATTTGAATTTTTGGTGTAAAATTTGTATGAAATCCGCAAAATTTTATTTGGGAGATATATGTAAATCTGAACCGATTTCAACAAAACTTCACAGTCAAACTGAACTAAATTCCGTACGTTGTGCAAAATTTTGTCCCAATCGGGCAAAATATTTTCAGTTCGACGCACCATTTACCAAAATCGGACGAAACTATATATGAGCTATATCTAAATCTGAACCGATTTCATTAAAACTTGTCATGTATTAATCTAGGCCTAATTCAGTACTATGTGCAAAAGTTTGTCTCAATCGGGCCAATATTGGCAGTATGGTTCTCCATTTACATAAAATCGGACGAAACTATATATGAGCTATATCTAAATCTGAACCGATTTTCTTCAATTTCAATAGGATTCGTCTTTGAGCCAAACAAGTTACATGTGCCAAATTTCATCAAAATCGGATCATAAATGCGACGTGTACTTTGTTCACAAAAATACATGAAGGGACAGACATGCATAAATCGACTCATAATCTCAAAAGGAACCATAGGTCTATATCGATTAATTTTAACTGTTACTAACATATGCACAAAGACATAATACCCTGTACCACAGTGTGGCGAAGGGTATAAAAATAAAAACATCGGACGATTTTTGGATATAGCCCCCACACAAAGGTCAAGTCCCCTTTTCAACCGATATTATTATATTTTACTATTACGAAGTAGCAGAAATTTGGAGTTTCGAGACTTTTGTAGATAAACACTTTGTCCAAAAATATTTTAAATATGTGTCAATTTATATGTACTCACATACGAAGATCATGTGACATTTTTTGGTTTGTGTATGGTCCTAGCGCAATTTTCCAACCTAAGTGTCTGTAGTTCGGTATTTAGTTTTCTCCCGGCAACAACATAGTCCCTACAGAAAAAGTCTCGGTCGATTTTATGTATTTCGAATTTACACATCATGGTGGAGGGTATACAAGTTTGGCTTGGCCGATTTATTTTTTACATCTGTCTCTAAACCTTTTCGATTTTTGTCTAAATATGTTCCCCATATTAATATTTGTTTATATAAAAATCCCCTACTCATCCGTAAATTTCTCTACTGTCAACCCTACCACAAAATGCATGCCAACACATTTCCATTGTTTGCTACTTGGAGCTGGCCATAATAGCAGTCTTGACTTTAGTTTAAGAAGAACCACGCTACGGTACACAGGCACCAATTCATGGTACAACGCGAAGCGCAAGAGTCTCAGTGAAACGCTAACAATCAACATTGGTGAAGGGAGTAGAGCGGAAAGGCGGTAACGCATGCGCGCATACCAAAATACATTCAGCTGAGAAACAACAACAGCAACAAAGAAGTAAAAAAGAAAAATTAAAATCAAAACGAAAAGTGAAACAAGTTTGGTGGTGTACGGTGTATTGAAGGTTTTGTCGGTTAGTTTGTTAGTCGTCAAGTCAGTTAGCCAGTTTCCTCTTTATGTGTGTACATTTCGGCTTGAATTTCGCATGATAAGTACGACGGCAACAAAAACAACAACAAGAAACTGATGACGCAGATTGACTGACTGACAGTCGAAACGGTATGCTACGGTGCGAGTTTGAATACGTATGTGTGTGTTTGTGTGTACGTTTTAATAGGCAATGAAATTTCTTAATAAAATAGAAAACAAATAAAAATAATACACAAAGTGAAATGAAAAAGAAATAGAAAAGTAATGGTGATTTTTTTTTGTTTTATTAAAAAAAAATAATTACAAAAATAAGAAAATAAAATATTTTTGAAATTGAAAATTATGTTGAAATTGAAATAAACCACAACATCATTAAGAATTTCCCACCAAAGCAAAATAGAAATCTGTTATTCATCAAACATCCACGTAGTCTCTGAAATAAACAAAAAAATAAATCGACGTTTTTATTTTACCAAAAATGACATTGAATCTACGGCATTCAATTGACGGAAGTTGTGTTCAGTTATTCAACTTTAAATCAATATGGAGATTATGTACCACCCTGGCTGTATTATGTTTAGTTTTTCCATTACACACAGGTAATATAACTATTTTTTTTTTGTAATTACAAATTAACATAATTTAAATACTTTTTATTCTCTTCATCTGAAGTGAACAGCCTTTGGTCATTGAATTATAAAAGTAAATTGCAGCCACACTGATCTATAATTTATCATTAAATACAATGTGTTGGATATAATAAAATATTCATAGGGAAAATTAAAAAAAATGAAATCTTTGAAATGTCCCCTAGGTTTTTGCGGATTTTTTAAATGATTTTCATTTAGAATTTTGAGATCTACAAAATATCTACAAATTCAGTTGACTTAAAATTATAGGGAACATACCAAAAAGTGAACCTATACCGATAATTCTACAAACCGGTTTATGACACCCATTGTGTACACCAAATACAAATGTATTAATGAAAACCCCAAAGCGTGGACTGACACTAATAACGCATGGTAGAATATACAATCCTCAAACTACTGCAATTTAGATTACATAGTGTAAGAATTAGCGAATATTTGGGGTTGTAGTTATATGAGGGCTATGCCTAATTAATAACCGACATATGTCAATTTCAAACCCAATATTTTTGTTTTGTTTCTCCATTCTTTCCTTCATGAGGTTTAATTATATGGGAGAGATGCCTAAATGCTGGCCGATATATTTCGTTATCGTCAGGATTGAGTTTTTTTTATCACGATTTCCTTAGAAAGCGGAATGATTATAACCGATGGCTAAATCAACTTAGAATGCCATAATTTGTAGGGTAAATCTGACTTTTCGAGTAACGACTATCCTCTTTGCTATTGTATAATACGCCTATATAGGGACAACCCCTACACACGGAACTAATCAGCTAATTATTTTATTATAAGAAAAAATGGGCCTATATTTATAAATTTTAGTCAAGAAATTTGGTACCCAATAAGAACCCATTGTACCAAATTTCAGCGAATTCGGTTTAAAAACGCTCTTAAAACCTCACAAAATACCGTAAATTTGGGGGTACCGTTATAAGTGGGCTACCACTTTAGAACCTTAAACATAAACCTTAAACATGGAGTTACAGTACAACTGTTCTGTGAAGAAGTTATTTACCCACTAAGACTCTGTAGTGTCAAATCACAGGCACATCGTAATGCCAAAATAATATCACTTCGATTGGAAAATCCGTATAGGACATCAAAATACCTGCAAATGTAATAAACTACTTACTTACTTAGCTGGCTTGTGGCAGAACGGTTGTTCTATAAGACGAGCTTAAAAAAGATTTCCAAGCGCGTCGGTCTTGTGCGTATTTCATTTAATTTGAAAGGCCATTTTCCGAGATGTTGTCTTCTACTTGATCATTTCATCGGTTTCATGGCCTACCCCTTCTGCGTGAATCATCACTTGGCTCGCTTTTACATGCCTGGGCATCCTCATCCATTCTCACAACATGACCTAGCCAACGTAGTCGCTGCAGCTCGATACGTCTGACTATGTCAATGTCCGAGAATAGAATATGTATAGCTCATGTTTCATTCGACGACGATATTCACCGGCGACGCAGATCGTCTTATAGATCTTCCGGAGAATTTTTCTCTCAAACACTCCAAGAGCTGCCTCATCTGCTTGCGCAAGTACTCATGCTTCAGATCCATAGAACAGCACGGGTAATATCAGCGTCTTGTAGAGTGTGAGTTTGCTCTGGCGAGAGGTGGCCTTGCTTTTGAGTTGTTTACTCAGACCACAGTAGCATTTGTTTGCCAACACTATTCTCCTCCTAGCGGGGTATATGAAATCGTTCACTATCTCGAAGCTGTAGTTTTCAAGTTCCACAGTTAGTCAGCTTGGTCTTCTCGCCATTTATTGCCAGTCCCACCTTGGCAGACTCTTCTCAATTCTTTCAAAGGTGGCTGTTACCGCTCGCAATGTTCGAACCATTATGTCGATGTCGTCGGCGTAAGCGAGTAACATATGGTGTTTGGTGTGCGAAGTGCCATTTCTGTTCACATTTGCAGACTCCTTCTTGGCAGACTCCTTCTCAATTCTTTCAAAGGTGGCTGTTACCGCTCGCAATGTTCGCACCATTATGTCGATGTCGTCGGCGTAAGCGAGTAACATATGGTGTTTGGTGTGCGAAGTGCCATTTCTGTTCACATTTGCAGACTCCTTCTTGGCAGACTCCTTCTCAATTCTTTCAAAGGTGGCTGTTACCGCTCGCAATGTTCGAACCATTATGTCGATGTCGTCGGCGTAAGCGAGTAACATATGGTGTTTGGTGTGCGAAGTGCCATTTCTGTTCACTTTTGCATCTCGTATGACATTTTCCAGCAGGATGTTAAACATGTCACACGGAAAACTGTCAACTTGTCTGAATCCTCGTTCGATATTGAAAGGCTCCGATAGGTCCTTTCCGACTATAACTGCTGACGTTGTGTCACTTAAAGTTATCCTGTATTAATTTTGCAGGAATGCCAAACTCAGACATGCCATTAAACACCTCTGAATGGATATGCTGTCGAATGCGGTTTTATAGTCGACGAACAGGTGGTATGTGTCAATATCGTGGGTCTTTTCCAGTATCTGACGCAAAGTGAAAATCGGGTCAATAGTGGATTTGCAAGGCTGAAGTTGCATTGGTATGATCCAATAATGTCATTGGTCATTGGCTACAGTCGTTCACACAGCACGCTGGATAACACTATATATGCGATGGGAATGAGACTTATTCCTCTATAGTTGGCACATATCTTGTCTTGTCTCCTTTTTTGTGCACGAGACATAGGATGCTGAGGCTCCAATCATTGGGCATGCATTCCTCTAGCCATATTGTACTAATCAGCTGGTGCATGCTCCTGACCAGCATCTGACCACCAGCTGCTTTATTTTTCTTCAGCTGATTAATTGCTACTCTGACTTCATCTTGGCACTCTATACCGTCATCTCTTATTGATTCTGGGTAGGGATAAGTAAATCGACTTTCGATTATCTATGAGGAAATCGTAAAGTCGACTTTTAAAGATCGACTTTCGATTTTATTCATAAATACTTGATTTGTTATCACAAAGCCCAAATTGTCAAAAATTACAGATTCCACAACTTTATTTTATTGGTTGACAACTATTCACATAAAAAAATAAAATTTCAGTCGATTTCGCATTGGTCGGTAAAAGTCGAAATCGATTTTAAACAGGTTTGACAAAGTCGAAAGATCGAAAAGTCGACTTTTTAGTCAGAGGCAAAAATCAAAAAGTCTACAAGTCGACTTTTGTGCTCGCCTACGAGTCCCTGGTTTTGGGTATCTCCTTCACCGACACTATTTAATAACAGAAGCATTTCAAAATGCTCCTTCTAGATCCTCAACACGATATCTGTATCTGTCACAAGGTTTCCATCTTCAACTCTACATGAGGATGTCGGTGGTAACATTTTCCGACTTCATGCTGACTTCTGTATACCTCTATTTGCTCACGCTCACGAATTTCTTGCTCATTTCTTCTTTTTTCTGAAAATAAGTTTCTCCTCTCTCCTTTTCTCCCGATAATTCTCCATCGCATTACGTGTTGCGTTTTTCACATCAGTACAAGGAACTGGATGAATGCTTTCCGTCTATCTCAAAATTATCAATTTGATTTCTCTTTGCTTGATCAGGAGAAATCCAGGTGGCCTTGTGCATATCGAGATGCCTGAATCTGGTGCTGCTAACTACCAGGTCTGCTGTTTCTTCATATGTATATGTGTTGTGGAAGAAAATAAAAATGTGTAAAAAAGTTTGACATTTTGACAAGCATATTAAACACAATTTAGGTAGTTTTTGGTCAAAGTCGTATTTTCCAACCGAAGTTTTTGTTATAGTACCATTTTTTGGGATTTCATTACGATTTCCCCCAATAAAGGATACATTTAAAGATACTAGTCCCATTTTAAAACCACTCGGGTCACAAATGGAGAATTTGCGATCCCTACGAAATAAAATTGTGGGTGTTAGATATAGCTTTTAAGATTACGAATATAATTGATCTGGAAATTTTATAGACATAGGGAGCTCTCTTTTGAATTCGACTCTTGTGATTGAATATAAAAATTGCAATTTTAATATATACACCCCAAGCTGTGCCACAATCAACAGCTTACGTTGCTTTTCTTTGTTTTTAGCCAAGTTTCCCTTTCAAGTTTATTGGAGTAAAGCAAAAATAAAAACATAAAATAAAAGATAAAACCAAACAACTAAAACTATACGCTAAAGAGTAACAAACTAAGCGTTGTTGCGCTTAACTGAACTACAAACGCCCGAAAGAAATTCACTTTCGTACAAAACTAGAGAAACTGGTCTAATGGCCATTGTAGATGAACAACAACAAGAGCAGCAGCAGCAGTAACAACTGACTGAGTGTCTGTCTGGTCCCTGACTACTGTCATGCTTTGCTTTTACAACAAGAAATGTTATTTTTTGTTGTTAATTTTATTTCGCAAAGCATAAATTAATAGAAATGATAATAATAATATTCACATAGTTGTGCTTAAGCATCGCCAGCAACTTTTGGTCTGGCCTTTCTTTACTTTGTTGCTATTTTGCGTTTATCGTTTTTATTTATATTTTACTGCATGCCATTGATTCCAGCTTAATAGGTCATACTGTATACTGGTTATTCCAATGCAGATAAAAGATATAATAAGAAATAATCGCATTTAGTCACCACCGAAGATTGATTGGAAACCAAAATATGAGCTAAGGTTTTGGTAATGGCCTTTAAAAATTCTTGCGTTTCTTCATTAGTTCTTGTTATGATGGCTAAATTCGTCGTTGAGTCATCGCAAATGTCGGGGGGTTTGATTGGAGGTTTGTTAAATGGAAGCAGTTCTTAGTGGTCAACCCAATATTAAATAAATACATAATGAGTAATTTTTTCTTTGGAAAGTTCCAAAATTTCTGATTTGCATATGGGGTCACATATGTAGTCATTATACCATACTGTGGTATATCCCAAGACATGATAGTCATTGTGAATTTGTATGAAACATGTAGGAGAAAAATAAGAAAGAA